AAACTGATGTTGGTACAATCCATAGACCTTGTTCAGATTTAATCATTTGTACATGAACTCATTTATGTATGTAGTGTGTAAGTGTGTGTATATACTTTGCAATTGTATCACATTGTAGCCTTGAGTAACCACCAACACATCAAGGTACCCAAGTGCCTCTTGGGGCACTTGGGTGGCTCAGTTGGTTAAGAGTCCAACTCTCGATTTCAGCTCAGGTCATGATTTCACAGTTGTGAGATCGAGCCCTGCATCTGGCTTTGCGCTCAGTGGGGAGTCTGCTTGAGATTCTCTCTCCTTCTGCCTCTCCCCCTGCTTTTACATGCTCTGTCTCTAAAACGAATAAATAAATAAATCTTAAAAAAGTGGCACCCAACTGTCCCATCACCATGACACCTCAAGCTACCCCTTTACAGTCACCCTGCAGTCCCTCACCCCTGTGACCACTAATCTTCTGTGCATTTCTATAATTATGTTATTTCACAAATGTTATATACATGGAATTATGCAGCATGTATCATTTCAAGATTGGCTTTTTTCCACTCGGCACAATTTCCTTGAGGTTCATCTAAGTGCTTACATGTATCACTGGTTCATTCCTCTTTCTTTTTTGTTGACTGGTATTCCGTGGTACAAACACATCACAGTTTGTTTAACCACTCACCTTTTGAAGGACACTCAGGTAGTTTCTAGGTCTGGGCTATAATAAATGAAACTGCTATGAACATTTGTGTGCAAGTTTATGTGTGAAAATAAGTTTCCATTTTTTTGGAATATATGCCTAAGAATGCAATTACTGGTCCCATGTAATTTTTAGTTTTGAGAGGACTTGTTTTTCAGAGTGGCTATACTATTTCACTTTCCCACCAGCAGTGTATGAGTAAGTGGTGTTATCACTACTCTTCACTTTAGCCATTCTGATAGATGTGAAGTGATATCTGCTAGTTTCAGTTCGTATTTCTCTAAGGGTTAACGTTGCTGCACATCTCCCAGCAAGAAGAAAACTCAGTATAGCTTGTGTGACAGACAATATTTTCCAGAAAAAGCCAACAATATTATTCCTCAGCCCATGAGCTCCTTTGATGACATGAGTCAATACTCTTCCCACTGAGTAAGGTTTTACATTCCCTCCTCCTGAACTGGAAGGGCTGTAAATACAGTGGACACGGCATTATGGAACTTTGAGTTTAGGTCATAAAATTGCCATGCACTTCCATCTTGTTTTCTTGGAACCCTCACTCTTTGAATGCAGCCTCCATGCTGAGAGGAAGGCCATGTGGAGAGGTCACATCTTGGGTGTTCTGCCTGACAGCTCAGCTGAGTGTCCAGCCACCAGCCAGCACGTGTAAGTGAGGAAGACTTCTAGACACATCGTCTAACCACAAGTCAGAGCAGTCCTGGCTCGCTGAGCCCCGCCAACATTCAGAGCCATGTAATAATCCTAAAATGACTTTTGATTTAAGACCCTAAGTGTGGGAGTGATTTGTTACAATGACAATAAATAAATGAGGGTGTCTTCTCTACTATAAAACTTCATGCTCTAATAAACTGGTACAAAATAAATTAGCACAAAATTTTCCTAGAATGGCCACACTATGTCTCTGCTCTCATTCTTAAAAAAAAAGAAAGAAAAAAGAAAGTTTCCTTTCTCTATAGAAACTGAAGAAGCCCACTGGAGTCAATATGGTGTATTGTTCTGAAATGTGAAAGAGCATACTCTGGGCGCCATGGCCAAGAGCCACAGGATCTACTCAACATGTTGCTTGTTCCCTCTTCTGGAACATTCTCAACCCTGACAGCCATAGGACCCACTCCCTCAGTCTCTGCTGTAATATCACCACCCCGGAGCGGCCTTCTCTGACCTCATCCTCCATCACTTTCTACCATATCCTTATTCTGCTTAAATTAATTATAGGAAACTTAGTGCTTATCACCACCTGTCTGGAGCTGATTTTATTTGTGTATTTATCCCATCTCCATGCCCCAACTAAACTTAACGAAAGTAGTGGTTTTGCTGTGTTCATCCTTAGGACCTACAACTGTCCCTGGCACACAGTAGAAACTCAGTGAATATTTATGGAAGGAGTGAGTGCACAAACCACTAAGGCTAAAAGCACTCACCATGTGCCAGCCCCTGGGAGCTCTTTGCAGGGTACATGGAAATTTAGGAAATGTGTGAAGCATAGGTTCTGCCCTTGAGAATGACTATGAATGATTTAATAACCTTCTGTACACTGTGGGGAGGGGAGATCTTTGAGCTGATTAAACAACGAATTATTTTAGTCTCATGCCTGATGTTGACACCTGACATGTGCTTGCAGCCAGGAAGCCTTTGCCATCAATCCACAGAAATAAGGGGAAAAAGCCTGCCTTGAAACTGCCCTGCTTTTTCTCTTTCATTTTTTTCCTGCAAGAACCAGTCCCCAGGGCCAATTTGTGGACCAGTTCAGTGCTTTGTGAATTATGTTCTGAAGTCATGGAACCCTGCCTAAGTACTCTCCTGAGTCAGGCCAGGGGAAGGTCCCAGCCCTTTTCCCACAGCTCTCCACTCTCTGGGAGATTATGTAACATGGCTCTATATCTTTCCCCTCCTTAAACCTACATTCCCTTGCAATGTGACTCTGCATCTTCTCTCATCAAGAGATGGAGGTCTATTTCCCCATCCCTTGCATCTAGGCTTGGCTGTGTGACTCACTTTGGCTAAAGGGACATTAGCAAACAAGAGAAAAACAGAGGGTTCAAACTGTGGAAAGAGCCAAGATGCCCTTCAACAGATGAATGGATAAAGAAGATGTGGTCCATATATACAATGGAATATTACTCAGCCATCCGAAAGGATGAATACCCAACATTTGCATCAACATGGATGGGACTGGAGGAGATTACGCTAAGTGAAATAAGTCAAGCAGAGAAAGTCAATTATCATATGGTTTCACTTATTTGTGGAACATAAGGAATAGCAGGGAGGACATCAGGAGAAGGAAGGGAAAAATGAAGGGGGGGGGAATCGGAGGGAGAGATAAGCCATGAAAGACTATGGACTCTGAGAGACAAACTGAGGGTTTTAGAGGGGAGGGGGGTGGGCGGATGGGTATTAAGGAGGGCACATGGAGTGCTCCACTGCATGGAGCACTGGGTTATATGAAACTGGGTTATATGAAAACAATGAATTGTGGATCACTACATCAAAAACTAATGATGTATTGTATGCTGACTAACATAACATAATAAAGTAAAATTAAAAAAAAGATTCAAATTAAAAAAAAGCAGAGAGTTCAAAAGTGTGCAGTGGAGCTTGCCTCTCTTGCTGCTCTGGGGAACCTTGCTACAGACACCATGCGAATAAGCCTCGGAGAGTCTGCTGGGAGATATGGGACACATGGCAAAGCACCAGGCAAATGAGTGAGGCCATCAACAGCAGGCTGACCACAAATGCAAGAGTGAGCTCGGCTGATGCCACATGGAGTGGAGATAAGCTGTTGCAGCAGAGGTCAGCCCAAATGCTGACTCACAGAACTGTGAGCAAATACATGGTTGTCATTTTAAGCCACTAAGTGTTTGTTATGTAGCAAAAGCTGACTGATGCATCCTCTCATACCCACTTAAAAAAAAAAATTCAGCCAGAGTAATGCAAAAAGCAGGACTTAAACTACCCATTAAAAATAATTCCAAGTTTGCAAGTACATTTACAGGGAAAGATGGGGAGAATGGGAAATGCATTAAGGGTGATCTTTATTTTGTCCTTTATACTTTTCTGAATTTCCTGAATTTTCCACAATAGAATTGACAATCTCTTTAAAACAAAAGAAGAAAAGCCAAAGTGTTGGGGCAGTTTCTTTTAGCTGCCCTCTGATGGTTCCTGGGCAATTCTGCTGTGATGTGAACATTTTCCACATGGCTGAGGTTGCTGGGTTGTAAAAGACAGGTGTTTCAATGGGACAGCTGGCTCCCTGTATGTCAGCGCCATTACCTCTGGTGGGAGTTTCAGGGAGGTTAAAAGGGCCTAAATGGTAAAAAATCTATGCTTCAACACTCTTCCATCTAACTAAGATTGCCTTGAAATGCCAACTCATATTCTATATTCTTTTGTAACCTGGTGTGGCTGATGAGTTTCAGCGGAATCCCTTGAGCTGGCTGCGGACATGGGAAATGCAGCAGTCTGGGCCTGGGTATAAGCTAGTGTGATGAATATCTTTTGTTTGCCTTTCCAGATCTATTCTCTTCCTCTCTGAGCCCTGGGGCACCAACCTGTGTTGACTGCACTGATGGCTTCTGATTGGGTTCGGCCAATGGGGAGAACCAATAGGAGACCAGAAGGAAAGAATGGAGTGAGGCTTGGATATTGATTCTCCCAGTTCCCATCCTGCAGCTTCGCTGTGGTCTGTCTCCCACTGAAGATCAGAGTCCTGCCAGGCATCCCTCTTCAGACAATAATTTCTATTTTCAGATTCCACTAGCCAGTTCCCTGCCTCCCTTCCTCTGACATGGGGCAGTAAGAGTAGCACTCCATTCTAGAATGCCACATGAATCCTCATGTGCTCTTATGACTTGTCTACATCTGCTGACACCTTTGTTAAACTCTCCTTGAGCTGTCCACTGGAGTTTGTCTTCTCTTTCCTGCAGGAACTCTGAGAGATACTGCAGACATGCACAACTCCACAGACAGGGTGGACAAAGCCCTAGAAAAGTCATCTCTTCTCCTCCAACAAAAATAAGAACACGGAAGCAAAAGGAAAGGAAAGAAATGTCCATAGTTTCTTTTACTTCCTATACTCGTTGTTAAAGTGGAAAGTCATCCATCAAATTCAGATCACAGGTAATCCTGACAAATAGGATGACACAGAAGAAGGTAATTTCCTTTTTGGTAAGCTTTCTGGGAAGGACAGTGGGTGACTTGTGACCGAGGAGACTTAGAATTATGAGAAAGGGTTCTTAGGAGGATAATGCCCATGACAGACAAAGTGGCAAGGTAAACCGTGGAGAGGCCAAACATGAAATCTTACCCGGCCATCACTTGTCAGGAGGATGGAGTCACTCTTTATGTCCCTGTGAATCACTCCTTGATTGTGAAGGTAGGAGAGAGCTCTTAGAACCGACAGACAAACGGTAGCTATCTGTTCTTCATTCATTCTGGAAAGGAAATAACATTTAAGGAGCAAAGACAGGTTTAAGAACATCTTTGAAATGATCAAGAGAGGCAGCTCCCTTGGGGTCTAGTGAACGGTCCATGCTCTCCAGCCCATGTCTGGAAAATCTACAGGGAAGGACAAAGAAGTCTTGGGATATGAGTCCTAGATCCTAAGGGTTGGCACTGAGGATGACAGGGGCCCAATATAAAGCCCAAGGAAAGAGAACCCTGCTTGCTGGCTTTTGGGTCATTAATGCAAATGTACTTCCTTAGACTCTCATGGGTAATTCCTTAGGTACTGATAAACCTCCAGGTTCCTACAGAGAGATGGCACTGAATAGAGCCAAGGTTCCAAGTATGCCTGATAGGTGACCTTGAGCAAGCCCTTTTAACTTCCTCAGGTTTCTTTTTTCCTCATCTTGGAAATGGGGACATCCACAATTCTCTTTAAGGCTGGACTTGGACAACACGGTCTTTGGATCTCTAAGATCCCCCAGGATTAGCCCTGCCTCCAGGAACTGGAGATTCCTGCTGCTCTAGGTCCTTCCATCAAGAAGGGAACTGGACTTAGTTACTAATAACTAAGCATGATTGGATGATTTTTGAACAAACTGACCATAGGAATGAGAAAGGTAAGCATAGCTCTGGATATGTACCCCCACATTTCATGGCTGCACCCTTCTGAAGAAGGGTTCTGGCTTCAGAGGACACTGAGGTCAAGTGGCCTGCCCAAGGTTACCCAGCTAAGAAAGTGACCAGATCATGATTCCAACCCCACCTCTTTTTGAGTTCAAACCCATGCTTTTCCAATGTCCCCACTGTATCACATTGCCATGGCAACTCATATGAATGGCTTTTCAGCCATGAAGAACCTCAGTGGGAGAATTACTTGCCCATCAGTGCCCTCATAACAACCCAGAGAGGCCTAACTCATCTGGGTATAAAACCTACTCCCTCTCACAGAGACAGTGTGAAGCTCAAGCCAGACAGCAAATGTGAAAGAGCTCCTAAAAGTCACGCCAACAGAGGAGACTGTCGGGAGAGACAGAGGGTGTAACTGACCAGAGCTCAAATTCAAGGACAGCCTTGGAAAAATCACCCTGGGGAACTCTTAGCTCAGCAGGACAAGGAAATGGATGACCCCAAATCTGTATCAGTCTTGTTGATGCCAGAAAACCGTGTCTGAGTAAAATTAGGATTCAAAGTAAAATCCAAGGAGGTGGCCAATTAGGAGAAAGTCGAGGGTATAAATTGGCTGGGTATCCCTTCTCTTCGAAGAGGCTTATTCCAGCAATGCCTTGATCTACTAAGGCAGGCAAGAAGAAAATGTTCTTGTCTGAGAGTGGAAATCTACAACTTCTGTGTTCTTAGTTTTGTGTGAATGGGCTGGTCATTGTGCTGGATTGTGAAAACAATGGATGACAACTTCACATCTGCCCACAGCAGAGCCCTCGGAGGTTTAGAGCATCATCAGCAGGGATAAGCTCAAATATACCTTACAAATAATTCAGGAGCAACAATCACCTTCTTTAATAAAATTCATTTTTCTAGGATTCCATGAGATTCGAGTTATTTGAAGCAGACATAAAGATTATTTACAGGTCAACAACAACAAAAGTTAATGGAATCTGAGCCCCCATCACTGACTGAAAAATCACCTTTAACTGGCCTATGTGACAAATACTACTGATTCTGAATTCAGTGGCTCTGAAATGTATAGGACCCACTATAGAAAGACTGTTGCTTTCCTACTTCTGCAGGGAGGAAGCCTGAATTGGGATAAAGATGCCTCAGTTCTGGAATCAAATCCAAATTCAAATCCTGGCTCTGTTTTGTAGAGGTGTGTCAAGGTTACATGAGTTAATGTTTGAAGTGCTTGGCACTTTCCTTTGCCTTCTCTCTGTTCCTGGAAATCAGTAGGATGTAATTTAACAAGATGCTAGGTAGGGCTAAAATTCTGGTATCCATAGGAAAAGCTGAGCACCTGGCTACCTTATGGTCAGTCTGGGTAGAGCCTGAGATTCTGCATTTCTCACAAGCTTCTAGGTGATGTTGATGCTGCTAATCTCCAGAACACACTTTGAGTAGCAAGGAGTTATTTTATTGATCAATCAATCATTCAGTAAAGCATTTATTGAATATCTACTATAGGAAACTCTCTGAATGATTCAAGAATTAAAATCTAAATTTAAGATTCAAAGGATTTCAAGTTCTAAATATTTAGTGTTCCTTAACATACAATTTCTCTCCGCTCTGTGGAGCTCTCTGCCTTCAACAGGAAATTATTGACAAAACTGGACGGAGAGGATTAGAGAACACAATGGATTCCAGAGAGGCTAGTTCTTAAGTGGATCCACTGTCACACAATAAAAACTAAAAAAAACCAAAAAACAAAAAACCTTGACAAAGAGAGAGCTCCAGAGAGACATGTGTAGCTATCAGAAGCTTTCCAAGGCAGGAAAAAAAAAATCCTCTCCTCTGGATATATTTTTATTAATGGTTTTAGATGTAAGTCACCTTTGTCTTAAGCTTAGGTTTCTTCAGTATATTTGTTTCTGTAAGTTAAGATGATCTTATGTGTTTTGGGGGGGGGGGTTGTGTCCTATGACTATACCAACAGGGATCTGCCATCTGAAATGTTGGTGATAAATGTTCAGTGTCTTCCCTTACGTTCTTTTGTTTTTAGATAGTCTACTGAGACTGAGAGCTGTAGGGGGTTAGGATTGAAACATCGTCCGATTTTAGGGAGAAACAGCAGGATATTCTATCCCCTCACAGTGTTCCTCAATACCGTCTTGCTTTCCCCTTATTGTTCACTTGGATTCACTTATGATTTAGGCACCATTTCAGTGATACCAGCTAACATCCAGTGCCTCTCCTTCTTGACAATCATCTCTTATCCCTTTGGAGTTTTATTGACTACCAAGAGCAAATTTAAAGTTTCCCAAAGGTAACATGGTTTTTTAAAAAAATATGTCTGTTCCTTAGAACCTTGCTTCTCCAAGGTGGTCCATGAACCAGGAACATTGGTGTCATCTGGGAGCTTATTAGAATAGAATATCATGCCCCTTCCTATTGAATCAGATTCTGCCTTTTACTAAGACCCACAGGTAATTTATATGCATATTAAAATATGAAGAACACTGTCTTAGCACATACTTTGTCTCCCTTCAATGTCCCTTTCCTCCCACTTGCCTTCTTAGTAAACTCCTATGCACCTCTCAAAACTCATCCTGGTTATCACTTTATATTGGAAATCTTTATTTTCCCTGTTAGAGATACTCAGGTATTCTTCTTTGCTGCTTCTATATCTCTTTCTACTTCTGCACAGGTATTATATTTATTTCTAACTTGTGACATCCTTGAAGGAATATATTTCAGACTTTAATTGTTTGTATCTTTTGTGTCCCCGGCACTCAGGAAAGAGCCTGGCACATAAAAGGTGATCAATAAACAATTAACTGACCAAAACTGACACATCAGGGAAGCAAGTAGCAGAGGTAATAATGATAATTAACCGTTGTTACTTGCAAGAATATTTAAAAACAGAATTGAAGAATTTCAATTACGTAGGTTTCTTATTATGACATAAAACTTTGACTCATCTTCCATCTGTGTCTTCCTCAGCCAGGTACTCCTGGTGGTATTACCACAGAGCAATAGCATGGCAACTCAGAATAAAATTGTTTTAGAAAAATACATAGGAATGGGAAATTCTATTGTTTGGCACCAAAAGTCCATTGTCATCAGCTTGCTGACTTAACATCATTAGGTATTAATGAATTTCTGGAGGACAAGGAGAATGTTAACTGAATGAATTAATTATACATGCATGATATTGCAATAGGCACTTAGGGAATATAAAGAAAAAGGGTCATCATAGTCCCTGACTTCAAAGGGCTTACAATTTATAAAGAGGTCATAAAAACAGTCATTGAGGCCTTACCCTGGAGAAGAAATAATAAGCACTTGGAATTATTTGTCTGGATAATGAAGAGACATACCTGGTATGAGTGACAATGTCTGTCAAGGCACCGCCTTCTAGAAATTCCATGACCACCCAGAGCTCATCGCCGACAAGGTAGCTGTTGTACATGTCAACCACGTTGTCATGGTGGTAATCCCGCATTATCACAACCTGGGCAAATGGAAAGATGCTTTTTGACTTGTGATGGTGAAATTTTGCTTTCTGTTCTCTTATGGCCACAACTCTGCTGTGAGTAGAATTGATTAAGAAATATTGATTTTGGGGGGATTTATTCAGGAATCTATTATAGACAAAAAGACAGTATTGAGGGTAGCTAACAGCAATAAAAGGAATCAAGTTAGTCAGTTCAGAGAAAATGGCAGCGCAACCAGACACTGGGTTTGGAGATAATAACAGTGAAAACAGGCAGAACCCTGGCAAGGTTTATACTCACAAGAGGGAGTACTGTTGACTGTTTGGGTGGGGGGGGGACGTAGGAGATGATCAGATATCCCTAAGGGTCTTTGATAGAATGCACTATCCATACTCTACCATTCTTTAACCTGGCAAAAGGTCACCAACTCTAACTGGCAAATGATGAGTATGAAGTAAATGAGGTGAACAGTAGGAGTGGGGCTACATGAGGCTAACTTAACATCTTGGGAGGAGGTCTGGGTCGAGTGTGAGAGAGGTTTGGGCTGAATACAGAGGATAGGTCTTGAAAGTAAAAACAAATATGACTCAGGCATATACAAGGCTAACTTGAACTTACCAGAGAGAGCTTCCAAGAATTGCTGCCCTGTGGCTGCTTCTGGTGACATTTTCAGATTTAATGTTAAGTAATAAATTACAAAGTTATCTACATTATATTGCCCTGCCTGTTCTGGCATTGTGATTTGGAAATAAGTTCCAGAAATCAGCATTGTGGAAGTGACAAGCTGAAGCCCACCCACCTGGGGCTCTCTCTGAGATGTGGAACACAGCAAGAAAATGAACACCCATGGGGTCTGGAGCCATATGTGGCTTCTTGTGAGCCTCCATAGAAGAGGGACCCAAAGTCACACCTGAGTGCATTTTTATAATGTCTGTTAGGAAATGTGAGTGGTTCATCCTTTGCTGGAGACTGACGTATTATCTAACATTGGAATCCTGACTTGCTATCTTTAAGACCTAAATTTTCCATCCACAAAAGCTCATTTCTCTTCCCTAAACTCTCATAAAATCAATAGATGACTACCACTTCAAAATATTTTATGTCCTTAGACATAGGTATTCATATTTTTCCACCTATGTGCATTTTAGAACTTTCAAGTAATAAGTGTAAAAGGCAAATGAAGTGGAAAAATATGTGCAACAGACACATAGAAAAGGGTTAATTCCTTAATATATCAAGAGCTCTCACTTATCAATAAGACAAATGCTACCACCCTAATTGGAAAGTGTGCAAAGGACATATGGTTTAATAAAATAAAAATGGCCTAAAAACATATAAAAGTAATTTCACCCTCCCTAGTAATAATAGTGTTAATTAAAGCAGGAAGATTTATTCATGTCTATCAGATTAACAGAGATAATTTGACAATATCCAGTGTTAGTGAGAATGAAACAGGACCATCAGTGAGGGTCCTCATTGTTACAAACTTTCTGGAAGTCAATACTCTATACCACTTTCTCTAAATAGAAAAAAATATAGAAAGGAAATCCTGAAATATTAATGTAGGCTATTTCTTGGTTGTGAGATTATGCGACATTTTCTATATTTTCCATATTTTCCACAGGAAGAATTCATCATTGCTATAGCTAGGAACACATATCTTAAAGTTCCTAAAGAGTGAGAATCCATTGGCAAACTAACCTCTTTTGAGATTTAAAAAAAAATGGCTACAAAGGGTATACATGGTACCACAACCATGTATATATACCCATGTAGATAATGTAGCACAAGGCCTTGGAATCTGCTAGAATTCAAATCCCAGCTCTGCTATCAACCTGCTGTATGACCCTGGGCTAGTCACTTCACCTGAGTCCAGATTTCCTCGTGGCCATGGCAATAACATCTTTCTGTCTCACAGGTTGGTTGTGTGACTCAAGCCAGATCAGTGCTTAGCATGGGGGCTGATCCGCATGAGGCACCTTATAGAAGTAGCAGCCGTACACGCATAGACGAAGACCAGAAGGAAGGATTGTGGGGGCATGATTTTTGTATTTATATTTTCAGTGCTTTCTGATGTCCTGAACTGTACAGGTAATATTTTTGAAATGGGAAGTAAATGTTATACAGGAGAGAAAGAGTGATCTGAACACACCATCTACCTCATTAAAAAGCAGTTCTCGCCTCTGTTGCTTTCGGAGGTCCATCTTCTTCACGGCGACTTGTTTCCCCGTGTGTTTCTCGGTGGCGATGCATACAATGCCAGTTGACCCTTCTCCGATTTTGATAAAGTTATCCAGGTATTCCCTGGGGTCTCCTGGGCTGACCACCAGCTGCAGAGCAGCCCGAAACTGTTCGTGGGACACTCTGGAGGGCTGCTGGTCGGAAGAAGACCCCCAGCTGGGTGGGGGGTAGGTGCTGGATGAGATACTCAGGGAGCTCAGGTAAGAAGCCGTGGAGATGTACTGGGAACTGGTCTGCAGGGAGGGATGGTGGTACAGGGTGGCTTTGTGGTACCCAGATGGGTACTGGTGGCTGCTTGAGGAATAGCCCGCTTTGCTTTGACTTTGAGGTAGTTTGGCGGGGCCCCTGGGGTAGGTGTCAGACCCTGACAGTGGAGGGCTGAGGACCATCTGTGCTCGATCGTAATCCACCTGGGAAGACAGACACAGATGGAGAATATTCACATGCTAGATCTGAATGCCGCAGTGAGCCAAGCCACAGCTGGCCTGAATGAAGAGCACTATGCACGATACGGTTGTGGGTGATGCTTACCTTGTGAGGTCCGAGGTTGCTCCTGCTTCTACCCTATACCCTAAAACCTCCCCATCCAGCTGCTTTTTTTCCCCCTTTCCCTACTAAAATCCCCGGAAGCAGGGATGCCTGGGTGGCTCAGTCTGTTAAGTGGTTAAGCGTCTGCCTTTGGCTCAGGTCATGATCCCAGGGTCCTGGGATAGAGTCCTGTATTGGGCTCCTTGCTCAGCAGGGAGCCTGCTTCTCCCTCTGCCTGCCACTCACCCTGCTTGTGCCCTTTCTCTCTCTCTCTGAGGAATAAATAAAATCTTAAAAAAAAAAAAGAAAAAAAACAAACAAACAAACCCAGAAGCAGACTATGAGACCTGAATTTAAATGCAGTGGTGGGAGGTGATTCCAGGAGAAGTGAGACAAGGAAGGGGAAAACCAATAAAGGGTGAGTCATTGAGTATGATGGTTAATTTTATGTGTTAATTTGTCTAGGCTATGGCATCTGGTTGTTTGGTCAAAAACTAGTCTAGATATTACTGTGAAGGTTTTTTTTTAGATACGCTTAATATTTAAATCAGTAGATTTTGAGCAAAGCAGATTGCCCTCCATAATGTGGGTAGGCTGCATTCCATCAGTTAAAAGCTTTAAGTGAAAGGATTGATGTCATCCACAGAGGAGAGACTCTCTCTGTGTACACAAACAGCCCCCCCCACTGGTTGTCTCTCTGGTGAACCCCAACATGCACAGCAAGTTACCAATCAAGCAACTGGAACCTAATCCCACCAGGTAACTCTGCGCCCTGGAAGAGTATGTTAAACATGTACCTTGGAGCTGTCCCATCTGAGGGGCCAAGAGCTGGGGTATTTATGCACCAGCTCCCTTCAAAACACTGTTTAACATGTGCTTCCATGAATATTAATTTCCTGGCACTTCTGACTTGCCATGTCCTGGGCTGGTAGGCTCTAGTGGGAAGAGACAACTCTTAGACCAGAATTTCTCAATCTTGGTACCACTGATTTTGGAGTCCAGATAATTCTCTGATGTGGGTGAGTATCCTGTGTGTTACAGGATGTTCAGCAGCATCCTGGACTCTACCCACTAGATGCCAGTAGCAGCCACTTCTGCCAGTTATGACCAAAAACATTTCTTGAGGTGTTGCCAAATGTCCCCAGAATATGGGCAAAATTGCTCTTGGCTGAGAACTACCACTTTAGACAAAGGAAAGCAGTGTTGGCAGATAGAAACAAGAGGTGATTAAGGGATACAGTTGGGGCACCAACTGTACTCTTTGCTCCTAGGAAAGGGCCTTCTCCCACTCATGTGAACCACAGGGAGAGTTTTAGTTAAAATGTGCCTTATCCAAGGTATTATTTGGTATTTAGACCCTATTTTCTTTTTCAGGAATAAAAGATCCCATCTGTCATTAAAGGATGTTAGTCTTCAGTGAGAAATTTCAGGGGTAGAATGCTTTCCCCATGCTTTTGAACTCATATGCTAGAGGGGGGTATGTACTATCCACACACATAACCTAGCAGATATATGTAAAAGGGGAAATATGGCTCCCTGCCCTAAGCAGCTTTTCAGTGTGGACCATAAGGTAAACACTTGCAATGTTCTCATCAAATAAGTAGAAATATAATTGAAAGTAGCCAACATTTGCAGGAGTGTGTGTGTGAAAGGAAATTTGGTCATCCCTCAAAAAGATTCTGGCAGAAAATATTCTACTCTAGTTATGAAGACTGGATTGAGGGAACTCAGTGGAGAACAGGGAGGGCAGACAGAGCAGGGATGGGGGGGAAGTCAGTGAGAGGGTTATAGGACACTAGGTGTACATTCCAGTAATCATTCCCTGGGAGGGATCAGGAAGGACCTCTGACTAGCCCTGGGACAACTGAGGTCATGTCTGGTAAATATACCACAGCATAACACATTCAACTCCTTGCCCAGGACAGAAGGCACTAATCAATCACTGCACTCTTGTGTGATATTCTAACGACAACACAGTGCTGTGTACACAGAAGGTGCTCAAAAAAGATTTTTTGCTTGGACTTCAGGCTCCTTCTTAACGCAGCACCCTAGGAAGGCTCTACCTCTCTACTGCAATGTACATGAAATGACGTGGACATGTCCCCAAGCCCCATCCACCCCAAGGATCTAGATCTACTCTAATATGGTGGGTACTGGCCACATGTAGCTACTTAATTGAAATCAATAAAAAAATAAAATTAAAATAAAAAAATTCAGTTCCTCAGTCACATTAATCACATTTTAAGTATCTAGTAGCCACCACATTGGACAGCATAGATAAACCACATTTCCACCATTGCAGAAAGTTCTATTGGGTGGTATCTTTCCAAATAAACCCATTGCTCCCATGTAGTACATTCACTAATTTATTTAGTCCATAAATTAATCCTTGAGCCACTATTATGTGTTAGGCACAATTTCAGGTGCCATGGGAAGGTCCAGCAATAATAAAAATGGATGGTATTTCTGCCCTCCTGGGGTTTACACATTCTAGAGAAGGAGACAGATAATAAACAAGAAAACCGATAAATGTATATAGTATGCAGTCCAGTAGTAATAGAGATATGAAGGGAAATAGAGGAAAGGGTTAAAATGAATGAGGGGCCATCCTGGATATGAAGGTCAGGGAAGGCATCTCTGGGAGTGTGCCATTGGAGGGATCAGGCACAAAGTCTATGTGGGGAGGGGTAGTCTGGGCAGAGGGCTCAGCACCCACAAGGTTCTAGGCAAATACCGGCTTCACAAACAGCACAGAGGCTCTTTGGGTATGGAGGGGAGTCAGTTTGGAATGATGGCCAGAAAAGCAGCCAGAGGGATGATCATGTAGGTCATGGCAAGGGCACTGGCAGTCACTCCAAGTGAGGTGGGAACCACTGGAGTTTGCTGAGAAGAGGAGAGAGATATGAGCTTGATGTTGATCTCTGGGTGCTGGAGGAGAAGAGACCTTTGTGGCAAAGGTGGAAACAGAGATGCCAGTTAGTTTATTGTGGTCAATGTGAGTTGAGATTAGAGAGGGTGCTATAGTTGGGATAAGAAATGCTGGGGCCCAGGGTAGGGTCTGAAGAGAGAGCTGACATGATTTGCTGATGGATTGGATTAAAATGTGAAAGGAAAGAGTCAAAGATGACTCCCAAGATTTTGGCCGGAGCAACAGGCCATTTAATGATATGAGGAGTAGAGGGGCAGGGGTAGGCTCCATCCAAGATGGCGTCTGAGGATCCTTGTGTAGTCCCCTCCTACACTGTATCAGGCTCATCTGTGTGATCGAAAGAATACAGTGGAAGTGATAGCAAGTGCCTTCTGGGACGGAAAAAGATATTGTGGCTCCACTGCCCTCTCTCGGATCACTTGCTCTCTCCTGCTGTCACGGCATAAGGACACTTAGGAATCCTACAGAGAGGTTCAAGTGCAAAACCTCCTGCCAAGAGTCAGAAACTGAGGCCTTTCCACCAACAGCCATGTGAACCATCCTAGAAGTGATCATCTGGCCCGAGTCAAGTCTTCAGAGGACTAGCCCTGGCAGACATCTTGACCGTGGCAGTCAGCCACCTCTTGAGAGTCTCAAGGCCAGAATCATCCAGCTAGTTTAGTCACAGGAAACGGACCCAAAGAAACTGTGTGAGATAATAAATGTTTATTATTGTTTTAAATTGTTAAGTTTTGTGATAATTTGTTACACAGCAAGAGGTAACTACTGCATGGTAAAGCCAAGAATTCTGGCATGGCCGTGTCAAGTTTGGGAGAACTCTCAAACATTCATGCAGAAATGTTGCTGAGGTGACTGAGACATGCTTTGAGTCCAGGAAAGAGCAGAAACTGATGACCTGCACTTGAGATTCACTGGTGAGAGTCATGCCATTAGTCGGTATTGAAAGCCATGCTGTTGCATGTGTAAGAGAAGGTCCAAGGACCCCAACATTTAGAGACCAGAAGCAGCAGAAGGATGTTGCATAAAGGAGCAGAGACGTGGCCAGTGATGTAGGAAGGAGAGTAAGGGCCTAGGGGGTCCTGAAACCAAGGGAGGAAAGCATTTCAAGAAGGAAGGAGTAATGAAGCAGGTCAGATGCCAAAGAGGAGTGAAGTAGGGTGGGGTATATTGCTCATTGGACCTGGCACCATGGTGGCCGTCTAGAAGGCGGCAGGTGTCCCAAGATCCTGCCCCATTACACAGCATGAGCAAATGTCTATGCCACGAGTCTGGCCACAAGAGCTGCATACAATGGGCTCCTTAACATTGTTACCATGGCACCATTCTCATGTCTGCCCTGTTCATTGGCTCCCAGGTGACAGTGCAGCCCTTGCCAGTCTTGAGAACACCATCATCTACTCAGGTGAGTTCACCATTCAGACAGCCTTGTGCCAACCAGCAGGAACCAGCAGGAACCAGCAGGAACCAGGGTACTGCGAAGCCAGGTCCCTGTCCTGGTTGTACAGCAAGAGAACACATGCTTTTGAGGGACATACTTAGAGTTCAATTTTGACCCTGACGGCTTTGTCAACTCACTGAGCCTCTCTGAGCCTCAGGTTCCTTATCTGTAAAATGGGGATCATAAATACCTCCCTCACAGGGCTTTTAGGAGGCTAAACTGTGGCAACCTAGAGCAACCTGGTATCTAAGAAAACAGGCTCTTGGTTTCAAAAATCTCGTCGGCCATTTACCAGTTGTGTGACTTTGGGCAAGTTATTCTAACTCCTGTGCTTCGGTTTTCTCGCCCGTAAAATGGGAGTTATAACAATAATAACTACTTCTTTAGGTCATTGTGAGCTCTAAAGGACTGAACACACATCAAAAGATTTGCATAGCGACTGGCCAATACATCCTAGGTGCTGGTATCATTATAGAAAGTCCTTAGCAGAGTGGGAATGTCAGAGAAAAATACAG